GGGTAGGCTGGAGTGGGCTTGCGGGTGGGACCGAGCGCTGCTCCAGGCCCCGCCCTGTCTCTCTCCCGCACAGAAGCTCCAGAGGAGCCGAGCATCCAGGCCAATGCCTTGGGCATTTCGGTGAACAGCAGGGAGCTTGAGGAGGTGAGTGCCCAGGTGGCCAGGTGGGAGGAGGTGCGGAGTGGGGTTTGGCGAAGCTAGGTCTCGGCGGGGACTCGCCCTGTCCTTCTTAGGTTGCTACCTGTGTGGGGAGGAATGGGTACCCCGTCCCTCAAGTCATCTGGTACAAGGACGGCCGGCCTCTGAAGGAGCAGAAGAACCGTAAGTAGCTCTCTCAGCCTCTGAAAACCACCTTACATTTTACTTTTATTTTTTAAAAAGTGCACAATGATACTTGAAAATATTTTCATAAGATTTTAAACTTTTTTTGTTGTTGTTAATCCTCACCTGAGGATATTTTTTCTTATTGATTTTTAGAGAGAGTGGAGGGAGGGTGAGAGAGAGATCGATGTGAGAGAGACAATCAATTGGTTGCCTCCCGCATGCTCCCCCTCCCCCGACCCGGCTGGGAATCAAGCCTGCGACCGAGGTCGGAGGCAAGTGCCTTTGACAGAGAATCTGACTGAGACTGAACCTTCAGTCCGCGGGCCAGTGCTCTAACCATTGAGCCCGGCCAGGGCTGTTTTCATGCCCCGCCCCAGACTCGCCTGCCCTGGAACTCATCTCTGCCGAGTGTGTGTACTTCCCAGCCTATTTCTGTGTACGTACGCACATGTATACAGACCTAGCAATAGAGGGGCTTTTGTTTTTTATTGCCTACGTCAGCGGCGCTCGGTCAGGGGCGGTCTGTCCCCCTCCAGGGTATTTCAGTGTCCGGAGGTATTTGTGGTTGTCACGAATGGAGGGGTGCCCTTGGCATCTAGTGGGTAGAGGTCGGGGTGCTGCCAAACATCCCACCAGCACGGGACAGCCCCAGCGAGGGACGGTCAGGTCCTCCGCGTGGGGTGCCGAGTGGAGGACCGCCGGGGGGCGCTGTGTCGCACACACTGCACAGCTTTGCTTTCCCTGGGACGGCAGCTCGGAAGCCCGTGAGTTCAGTCTGCAGCGCTCCCGGGTCGCTGTTTCTCCCTTCGGCCCCTGCAGCACGTGGCACACAGAGTCTTGGGGAGGGGGTCTGGGGGTGGAGGGTGCAGCCTGGCCCCTTCGGGGACGGAGGGGGGCCCCAGGTCTCCCCTGCTGCCTCCCGGG